AGGGGACTTCCCCAGGGGCTTTGGGGAGGAGAGAGCAGGGGCCCATGCGCCAGGGTTAGAGGAGCTGGGGGGCACACACAGGCGGGACAGTCTCAGGGAGGGGATGTCCCCAGGGGCCATCCCAGCGGGAGAAGTACAGAGGAGCCAGGGTTACTGGGGGGGAGGTCTCCTCACTTTGAGGATCTCGTTGGAGCCAAAGCCAGAGAGCATGAGCGCATCCCTCTCCATGTCAAGGATGGCGCAGGCCACCAACAGGTGCAGGTTGGGGCCTGGGAGCCCGGTCCACAGCACCTGGGATGGGGACAGGGCAGTGTCAGCGGGGCCGTTCTTCCCGGGGGCCTTCTCTCTCCCTGAGGTGGCCTCCACTCACCTCCCACAAACGGAGGACGTCGGGGAATGGGAATTCACGCTTGAACCAGATGAGCAGCCATCGGAAACAGAAGCAGAGAGAGCCGGAGTCCTGGGAGTCTAATTGAGGGGACAGGACGAGGGCCCTTTGCCTCGGCGTCTGGGGTCGCGAGCTCCCCAGCCGGTCCCAGGTGGCTCCCCCCTCCCCACTCTGCACAGGGCGGGACTCCCAATCACACACTTCTTTCAAGGCGTGGCTAGGCCGCTCACTCAGGGCAGCCTCATCCCAAGTCAAAGCAAACAATCTCCCACCATCAAAGGGCTTCGTGACAGGCAGAAGCAAAGGCCAAGGTAAGAGTTCTCAACTAAGTGAGAAAAGAAGCAGCGGAGAAATGAGCCCACTCCACCCTCTGAGGACGACTGGAAGAGCTCTTAGAGATGGCCTAACGATCTAGGAGAGTCTGGGAGAAAGGCTGGACGGCCAGCCAAAAGCTCAAGACTAGAGGACCAGCGTGGGCGCCCCCCAACCCTACTCTGCCCGGTGCACGCCCAGGAACGGAGAGGAAAACCTGAGTCTGGCTAAGGCAACCCGGGAGGAACCAGAGAAAACCAGTGAAGAGCAAGCACGTTTTGTTCCACGCCACCCCTTCTGGGTTCTCCGTCCACGGAGACCGATTAGCCGCCGTCCGACTCTAGAACCCGGCCCATCAGCAGCTGCGATTACCCAGGAAATCACAGAGCGGAGGGTCCAGGACCCGCAAGAGCAACAGCAGCTGGCCAAGCTGACGCTTCATCGTCTCCTGACTCTCCTCGAAGTTTCCGTGCTGGAAGCAAAATGGTGGAAGAAGGCAAGGTCATCCCGGAGCCCGTCCCTCTACCCCCCGCCTATCAACAGGACCCCAAAACTCCCCTCTCACCACAAGCTCCATGAAGCCACAGAAACACCAAAAGGCATCGACCTCATTCTGCGTGACGAAGAGGATCGGAGAGAGAAGATCGCTCATACCCTGGACGTAACCTAGGAGCGTGGACACGGGGTAGGATATATGCCGCCGAAGGACCCCCCAGGTTACCTTTCTTCCTCTGTGGGTCCACAGCCTGGCGTTCGGTGGGCACGGGACGGGTCACCGTCCATCCAGGACTTCGCACCCCCGGCTCCCACCCACCCTGCAGAGCCGCCCCCCCCCCCCCCCCCCCCCGGCGGGGCCCCCCCCCCCCCCCCTCGTACCGAGGTCAAAGTGATACATGCAGTAGGTAAGGAGAATGTCATTCAGCAGGCCCAGGCCCGGATTGCCAGGCCCCTCGTAGAACTTGTTGCTGCGGTCAGTACGGCTCACATCTCGCTCTGCAGGAAGGGGAGCGGACGGTGAGGCCAGAGCAACCCCAACCTCGGGCCCTTCCCGTTGCCCTTTGGGCTCAGCACTGACCGATAAGGCTGCGATATCCGTGGAGCAATGAATTCCTCCTCTCCTGCTCAGGGCTCACCGACTTCCATTGCAGCTTCATGCGAAAATACTCATCCCTGAACCCGCCAGGAGAGCGGGGGGAAGAGGAAAAGAGAGGAAAAGAGTCAGCTTCAGACCGCCATCAGCATCGGGCCTGGTCCCCCAGCCGGCAACAGCAGGCAGCCTCTCAAGGACCCTGGACAGGGCCAGGGAAGCTTCAGCCAGCTTCCACGCACAGGCTCTGGGACAGGGCTCTCTTGGGGGTAAGGGGTATGGAGACTTGGGGTCAGAAGGCTCTTTCGCTCACGTTTTCCTGCGGATGTGGACCTTGTGCTCCTCAGCTGAGCCCTCCCAGCTGAGATAACCAAGAAGAAACTTCCAGGCCTCTCTCCTCAAAGAGGGGCACAAGCCCTAAGAAGACACAAGCCAAGCGGTGACACAAACACCCTCTGGCCGCATCGCCATCCCTTTCCCTTGTTCCCCCCACGGGCGCCCCGGCTCACTCACCCCTGAGAAGATCTGAGCCTTGAGCTCCCCGACATCCTGAAGTCGCCCATCCGGGCCCACGTGGCTGGCCCAGATATCCTCTGTCACAGGCTGTCCCCGGGAAACCACTGGCCGGGGCCCCAGCTGCACCTGCACTGACCCCGTGGGGAGAGATGGTGATCTGCGGCCACAGCTCACCCCCTACCTCCTCTCAAGTCATCCAGTGCCACTCAGAGACTGCCCACCCGGGGCCACAACTAACATTGCTCCCCGCCTCCTAGGGTGACAAGACTAAAAGCCCCGCCCTGGCACTCACACAGGAGATAACTTCAAAGCCAGGCTCTGGCTCCTCATCGTCGAGGGCCTCAGGATGGCTGGCAGGGGGACCATCGGGAGGAGGTTGAAGGGCTCCCCGAAAAAAGTTGGTCACCCGTGAGAAACCACCAAAGGTGGCTGCATAAGGGTCCTGGAGAAAACGCTGAAGAGACGGTAAAAGAGAAGTTCATGGCGTGGCCCCCATTGACAGAGACCAGCCCTCTTCCCACCCCAGGGACACTCTTCCCTCCTCCCTATTTCCCTCAGGCCTACCGCCCGCTCCCTTCCCCCCTAGTCTTCAGACCAGAAACTCACAGACACCACATTGGAACTATCATCATCGAAGAGTTGGAGATGATGGAATGAGTTGGAGAGAGCGGAAGAGTCATGAGGGAAGACGAGGTATAGGCGCGAGTCCTGGGGGGAGCTGGGGCCCAGCAGAGAACAAAAGGAAGAGAAGAAGATGAGCGACCCGACGGGACGGGAACACACGGGGGCCAGGGAGAGGTGGGGCACAAGGGATGCCTGGCGGGGACTGACCTGGCCAGCAGCAGATAGCGGCTGAGGACCCGCAGCAGGGCCCGCGTGCCCCCCCGGTGGAAGTGCAGAGCCGGCAAGGAGCCACCGGCCTGGGTCACCAGCACCAGATAGGCCCAGCCTAGGCCTGGCTTGGAGCGCCGTATCGACTTGAGCTCCCCCAGGCTCACCGAGAAGGCCCAGGAACCCTGGGGGCTGCCAGCCCCTGCAGCTGGAGGGAAGGAGCAAGAGGCTGCTGAGGGGGGAGGATGTGCTCCACCCTCACCCATCCCTCCTTCCCCTAGGACCCTCCTCTGGCCTCCTGCGCTCTCTCTCTCTCCTACCTGGCACAGTCGGCTGTCTACACCTGCTGCCCCCATTCCCTCATCGCCCATGCTCTCCAAACTCCTGCAATCTGGCTTCTGCCCCCACCCCTCTACTGAACTCTCCTCCAGCATGCCAATGGTCCCCTAACTGCCGAGCCTGGGGCTACCACCCTCGATTCACACCAACCACATGTCATCGTCATCATCACTGTCATCTCCTCTGTCCTCTCCTCCTGTTCAACTATTAATCGCTCTTCTCGTTCCACGCCCCTCTCTCCTCTCACGCCATCCTACCTCGAGGACGGCTGCTCCGC